GGGGGGGCAGGGATCGGCTGCAGCCAGCAGGGGCCAGCGGACCAGAGGCACCGGCCTCCTGCTCCCCTGCCCTCACCTCGACCTCCAGCAAGTACACACAGCGCGTGATGCTGTGCAGGATCATGCTCCTGGTGAACTCATCCTGCTTGCACTCCAGAGAGTTGAGAAGCCTCCGGAGCTCACCGGAGTCCCTCCGCTGCCGTTCGCGCTCCATGGCCAGGCCTAGAGAGCCAAGCCAGCCCAGGTTCAGGCTGCCGGCTCAGAAGCGACGAAAGAAGGGAGCGGGGAAGGGGGGAAGGGCCTGGGGACAAAGCTGCCTTGCCTTTTCTGAAGCGTTTTCTCGCTACATGCAGGACCACCGTGTACAGTTGAACAGGGTGTGGACTGCACAAGGCAACTAGTTTTTAATATTTGCTCTAACAAGTTTCTGGCATTTGCAGTAATACCTAGTATTTCATCATAATTAGTACATGGCAGTGATAGTCCAGCAGATGGCAATGGAGTCTTGCAGAAGGGGTGCCTTTTTCTACTTCCCGCCAGGTTGTCACGTGAACTAGTGGAGGCCCTGGGCATACAGGCCCCCCAATTTTCCCTTGGTGCCAAATCCTCACGCAGTGGATCCTAGAAGCTAGAGTGAATGTAGAACTTAAAGACCTGCCGGGTGAGTCCTGAGGATTCCCTTGAGGTGCTACCCACTACCCAGGCTCCCTGAGCTAGGGTGAGTTTAAGGAAGATGGAAAGGGAGGAAGGAGGAACTTGGAGGATTCACCTTTGGTCCCTCCCACACTGGAGGCCTCAGGAGCAGGTGCCTCCAGGGCTGCGCCCTCTCCCCAGGGCCCAGACACTCACGGGCAATGCAGATGGGCGAGCTGCTGCAGAGGGGCGGCTGGCATTTTATGCCAGCCCTGATGGCCTTGTAGAACAGGTAGATGGCCCCAGCGCCGATGGCCAGGCCCACTATCCCTCTGCGGATCTCCAGCTGCCCCACAGATGGTTGGACGCTCCTGCCCATGTCCTCAGCGCCGCCTTGCGCCCAGGTGGGAGCTAGGCCCAAGGCACCGGTAAGGGCCTTCCGGAACCAGAACTCTGGCAGGGCCAGGAACCAGGGTGCCAGAATCGGAACCCAGGCAACAAAGGAAACTGGAGAAATGGTGGGACTGAGGGTGGTCGGGAAACAGAGGAGCCGGAGGTGCTTAGAAGGAGAGAAGCTTTCGCTTAGAGGCTGTAGGAAATGGAACTCATGACTCTAGGGGAATAAAAAGTCTGGACGGGCAGGATCTTCACATCCCCTTTTCTCTAGGGCAGCCGGGTTGGTGCGACTCCAGCAGGCAGCTCCGGAGGCTGCGTTTCATCCATTAGAGGGCAGCAGAGTACCAACTTCCAGGCTGAGCCTGTGAAAGTTTCTGGGAAGGGTGTCTGGGGCGTGCCCAGGGGCAGGCCCAGTTCCCTCACTTCCCTGGCCCTCCAATCTTGGATCTCTTCACCATAGATCCACTGCTGGGCCTCAGGCAATTCTGCAGGCAGGGCCCTCCTGAGCAGAGGGACGCACCTTACAAACTTCTGCAGAGTTTTAAGGCAAATCCATCATCTTCCAGCACCTGCATGTTCTCCTACAGTGTGCGTTTACTTGTGTGACCAAAAGCTCTTGAGGATAGTTGTCTGCATCTCCAACATGCAGCACAGTCCTACACGTAGGAGGTGCTCAAATCATGACTTCTGTCATTCTTTGAGGACTTGAGGGCAGAACAGGGACAGAGAATCTGGATACAGGGGTTCCAGGCCCATTTAACCAGTGTGACCCTAGAGGAAGGGACTTCCCTTGCCTGGTTCTCAGGTTCTGCATTTCTAATCTGAGGAGATCCAGATTTGCCATTCTAAAACTCCAGGATTAAAATTTGGGTAGGTCTGTGCCTTTAAACTATGGGGGGGGGCTAAATCTGTGAGTACCATTTCACCACCACTACCTCCACCACCACCACCAAGGGGCAGGATGAGACTGAGGCCTCCTCTGGAGTCAGAAGATGCCACCACCCTGGAAGATAAGAGCCCAACTTTGGAGGCTTTGATCTTCACCACTAGGATGGGGTAGGTGAGACCAGACCCTTCTGTCCTCTTTCACCCCATGTCCCCACATCTGCTGGCCTTACCTCTGGTGTAGAACCAGAGGTCACAAACCCCAAGCCAGGCTCATGCCCAGAGCCAGCGCTGAGCGTGGTTGTACCAGAACAGGGCTGCCCCTGCCTGGCTGTGAGCTCCTATTGGAAGGCTCTAGGTCCTGGGCTGCACCTGGGCTTGAAAGAAGTGGGGAAACAGGAAAACAGCCTCCCCAGGGATGCTGCAGCCAGCCAGGCCTGTCCACCCAGAGCCTTCACCCACCACGCCCAGCTGCAGGCAATACTCTTACACGGCTGCTCTCTTCTTTCCTCTCTGCCCCAGCCCCAAAGTGGGTGACTACACAGACTCCCTGCTAGGAGGCCCCCAGAGGCCTCCTCACTGCCCTTGAGGACCAACAATCACCACCCTTCGACTCCAGGAAAGAAACACCTGCCTGATGAGGACTGTTTTAGGTTCTAAGGACCTGCGGCTAGATCCTTCAGAACAAGGAAACTGCCCTTCTCTGGGGTGCAACCCAGAGCTACTGGTCTCTCCATAGATTTGATTCTGCTACACCTCAAGCCCATTTCTTTTGGTTCTGCCCTCAAATAATTCAAAGGGATTAGAGGCAGAGGCATCCCCATGGGGTATGACACTTCCACTAGTCCACAGTACAATGAAATAATAAACACAGAGGAATGTCTATTTGCTAGTGTAAAGTCAATGTTTGTTCTTTCTTGGGAATGATTGCTTTTGATTCAGATGATGTCTTTCCTACTTTGAGGAGAATTCAAACATACTTGCTTTTATGAAATTATGGTAATAGATGGTAGCTGTTTTGATGTTCTTAGGGAGCATAAATGAAAGCGGCAACTCTTTGTGGGAACTTGGCTTTTGTTTTCTTGTTTTGGCTTTTCTGTCAAATCCAGAAATCTGGAACTGCTGGCGAGAGAGGTCTGAGATTGCACATACACACAGCCAGCGCCAAGTTTCTTACCTGCCCTCACCAAGCAGAAGAACACTGGCTGCCCCTAGCACATGCCTCTCTGCCACCCGCACCAGCTTTCTACCTTCAAAGCTGATGTTCCATCCTCGGGTGCAGTTTAGTTTACTGAGTGTGTGGGCTCTAGCCAGGCTGCCAGGCTCAAAACCAGCTCACTCACTTAGCTTTGTGTTTTAATTTTTTTTTAATTAAAAAAAAACTTTGATTTTTAGAGAGATAGAAGGGGGTGAGAGAGACACTGATTGGCTGCCTCCTGCACGCACCCCCACGGGAATCCAACCGGGACCCCTGGGGGCAGGGGAAGACGCCCAACCAAGTGGGCCACACAGGACAGGGCGGCTTTGCAATTTCTTCAAGCTTCATTTTCCCCCCTTGTGAAATGGAAATAATACATATCTCCGGAGGTTGGTTGTGGGGATTAAATAAAGTACTTCACTACTATGATAATCAGGTTTCACCCGATTTCATGGCAAGGTTGTGAGCGCGACGGTGGGCCCGGAAGAGGCCTGAAAGTCACGTCATTCGGCCCCTTCCACTGTCCCTCCACCCCTCCTGCCCTGGTCTTCTTCAGGCGAATCACTTCCAACTCCTGTAACCCACCTGACCGCCTTGAACAATTTCGGGAACCTCACCGGATACGGGGCAGAGGCGGGGGGCGCCCACCGTGCCAGACGGAGCTCTAGGTCGTCGAGGAGGGCGACTCTGGAGGGAGCCAGCGCCTGTGCGCACAGAAGCTAAGGGGCACGAGATTACTGAAACGCCTTTGCAGCCCGACCGGCCTGAGTCTGGGCAAATTCCACAATGTGAGTCTCCATTTCCTCCTCCGGAACACGGGTCTATTAATACCCACCGCTACCGGGAAGCGCCGCAGTCGGGAGTGACTGGGCTGCGCCCCGGCGCGCAGGAGACGCTCCGCACGTGCGAGCCTCCCCGGCACAAAGCCGGCGCGGAGGGAAGGG